GACAAGGCGATAATTAAATTGCCAAGAAAAATTTCGATTAATTAAATTAATGAAATTTTTCTTAACCTTTCTAAGAGCGATGAGGCGCTCTCAAAAATTAGATTTTAAAAACCCAGTTTAGCGCTCAAAAGACGTTAGAGCTTTTCATGTTTTAAGTTATTCTAATTTTAATTTCTCATTCACTCCCTTCATTTATATGGATAAAATATTTCGCGCAAATTTTAATAAGTTTCGCAGCACTCGTTTCTCATCGCCGAATTTAACAAAATTGAGATTCTGATATTTTGGTTGGAAGGATTCATTATTTTTTTTACGTGATTCTTCTCTCTCTCTCTCTCTCTCTCTCTCTCTCTCTCTCTCTCTTTGCATTCACTTGTGATGTCGAAACATATTCAGTTGTAATTTCTTCCTGCCAGCATATCGTAGATTTATCGGCACAATTTCTCTGACTTTCGGAGGCGTAAAGAGGGCATAGAACAACTGGGTGATTAAGTCGAAGAGTACGTGACCCACAAAATGTTTCTGACCCAGTGAAAAATACATTCTTCTTTCGTGCAATTCTTTACAACTGTTTGGTGCCTTCGAACTCCTTTCTTCCACTTGCCTTCTTGTTTCACATCTTGTTTCCTTCAGTCTCTTTCACGCTTTCTTTACCTATTCGCGATTCTTGCTTTTCGTATTCTTGACGCCCTCCCTTATTCCATCTTCATTTCTACTTCATGTCTTCTGTTTGGCATGTCTTTATCACTGCTTTTTTTACGCCTATTCTCTTTCCGCATTCCTGTTTCCCGTTTCTTCTCTTTCCGTTTCCTTCAGAATATTCTTTACATTCCTTTCTTTTGCTTCTTCGGCTCTTGTCTCCGTTATGAATCATTCACGCCTGTTTCCTTATGATCTCTTCCTTTGCTACTTATTTCTTCACGCCTCCTCCATTCTTTCACATCTCTTCTTACCTCATACCTATTTCAGACAACTGCACGCTTCTTTTCTTTCCACCCCTTTCTTTAAACTTCTTTTTCGTTTTCTTCACGCTTCCTATTGTTTTGCTTTCTTAACGTTTCCTTCCTTCCGTATATTCTTGTCTTTTCAGTTTCCGGCTTTCAAAAGTGTGAAAATACAAAATCAAACTTTTATAGGGACAACGAGAAGCACAATCGAATGAGAAATTGAGAAGGGATTTTATTTCAAAGGATGGCGACATCTAACGGAGGAATTTTACTGCACATACATAAAATTTCTACGTAGTATTATATTTTCACGTTTTTATACCCCTTTTTTCGTCTTGTTTATTAACCTTCACGGCTCATATAAGAATTTTCGACGCTCATTTCTTGTACATCTCACTGGTTTAGGCCTTATTTGCGTTTCCGTTCTTCCTCGAAAATTTTTACCACCGTACCTCCAACACGCTTCTTTCTTTTACACTTTTAAGCATATTTCAGCATGTCTCATTCTTTCATATGAGCCTATCTCTTTCTTGGCTGTTTTGTGCCATGCACGGTTCCTTCTGTCCCCTTCATTTCATACATTTCTACGCTTCGACCTTCTTGTCCTTTTGACTTTCACATACCTTTTTCACGTAGATCTGCATTTCTGTAATATGCCCCCCCCCCTCTATCATTAACGTCTACTCAAACCTTCCTCGCGCTGTCTTTACGCCTTTTTGCCACCATTCACGCCTTCTTTTTATTTTTCGCACTATTGTCACACCACCCTAACGCCTAGTTCAAATTCCTTTACCATTCACTCTTGCCTCTCTCGGTTAGGGGTCTCCATTAGCACTTTCCTCATGCCTGTTTTAATCTCACTTCCATTACGCGCTATTCGCAATGAATTGATATCTCCGTCGGGACTGCTTCACTCTTTTTTCCTTAATAGATTCCTTCTAACTCTTTTATGTCTTCTTCTTTCCGCCTTTATGCTACTTGCCTCCTTATCTAACTTCTGTTTCCATCACGCTTTGTTCCGATCTCTTTCACTTTACATCTAACGCCTTCTTCGCGTACCATTCACGACACATCCCTTCTACACTCCTCCAACACTTTTATTTTTATGCCTCCTTCAAGGTTCTTTTTTGATTCATTATTCAGTTCGTCTTAATTCTCCTTTTGCATGTTTCTTCACTCATTCGCCCCACCTCATTCACACCATCGTTTCGCATCTTTTACAACTGCTTCTTGTTTCTCATATTTAACGCTTTCTTGCTTTACGTCTAATTTACGCATTATGGCCGCTATTTGAATACCTCTCCCACACCCTGTTCTTTAAGGAATACTTTCTCCACGCCTCCTTCACTCCCTTTCGTCCTCCTTCGTTCGCCCTTTATACTCTTCAGATCGTCCTCATTCCTTCCTGACGCCTCCTTCTCTAACGAATTCTGGCTTCACGATTACTTTGCGCATCCTTCTTTAACGCCACTCTCTTTCAATCCATTTTCCTCCTCGCCTCTTTCTTTCCTGTTTGCCCAATCTTTCTTCGCGCTGTTTTATACCTTCTTGCCTTCTTCCGACACCATTCACGCCCTCTTCTGCTTTTGGACTTCTTCTTTGCATCTCTTCCATTAGCACTTCCATCGCGCTTCTTCCACACCATGTTGCTTAAATAATCTTTTCCTCACGCCTCTTTCGCGTTGTACGTTTTTACTTCAATGCTCTTCCATTATCCCCTTTAAAAAGGGCTCCTTTATCCCTTCTTAACAAACTCTTCACGATTCTTTTCTGCTACCTCTCCTTTCCCGACGTCTTCTTCACTTACTAATCCTTCTTTCGCGCTTGCTTCACCAATGTCTCCTATACACTTGATTAATGCTGTCGTCACGCCTATTTCGCGACTCATTCCGACTCGTGTCCCTAACTCCTCTTTCCCTTGAACCCAATTTATCACACCTCCTCCACTAGCGCTTTCTTCACAACTATTTCAAATTTTTCCTTCACATTTTCTTTCTTCAAGTTTTCAATATGCTTTTTTTCTAGTCCTTTTTGTTCCTTCTTCACATTTTTCCCTAGTGCGTTATTAGTGCATTTTTTGCACCTCCTTCGCAACTTCTTTACTTCTCAAAGCGCCCTTTCTGCAGAGCCTGATTTACGCATATTTTACTGTCTTGTCAGCTGGTTTCATTCCTCTTTCTTTTTCTCTTCTCTTCTATTTTCTTCGCGTCTTTTTTACGTACGCTTCCTTAATGTTTTCTTCAATGTTCCTAGCTTTAGGTCTCCATAATTCATGTTCTCCCCCATTCCTCCTCTTACAGGTATCTTCACTCATCCGTCGGTTTTTTCTGCATCCGCTTTACACCTTCTTTTCGTATCTTTCACGACTGCTTCACGTCTACGTCGTCTTGCTTAATGCTTTCTTATTTTACGCCTCATTTCTCCTTTAACTCATCTCTCCAACAATCTATTGGCCTCCTCGCCCATGTCGTTCACGTATTCTCATCTTTTGTTCACACTGTCTTCTTGACGCCCCCTTCTCGTATTCTTCCGACACCAATCTTTTCCTCCACACTTCTTTGGGGGGAAGGGAGGGGGGGGCGTTCTACCCTTCATGGAATTCTAAGAAAAGGTCTCACTGAAATGAACTGGCATGTACCTACAAACTATAACTTTCCTACGCGACTTCTTTACGAGATCAGTAGGTGGCCGGAAGGCGGGGGGGGGGGGTAGAAATTAATTTTGTTTCTTAGTATTCCAATTAGATGTCTCAACAGACTAGGGAACTAAATCCTACCCACTACCGGCATGTTTTGCAATATGTTGCCTATGTCTTGAAGGTGTGCCAGACGGCCATCACATTTCGCTGTCTCAAGAGCCCCCCCCCTCCTCCCATGAATTATTTCCTGAGATGCTGTTTTGAATGTAAAACGTGGCATCACTGTTACATGCGACAAGGAACTGGTCCGCAGATTTTGCATACGCATGACTTTAGTGGTACCAAATAAAATTTTTGAAAATTGGGAGGGAAGGGGAGAGGGCGTTCTACTCCTCATGGTATTCTAAGAAAAGGTCTCACCGAAATGAATTGGCATGGGGGGGGGGGGGGATGAATGTTGTTTCTTAGTATTCCAATTAGATATCTCAACAGACCAGGGAACTGATTCCTACCCACTACCGCCCTACTGTGCCTTGAGGGGAGGGGGGGGGGGAGAGTAAACTCACGTATGCGGTTTTGAATTGTCTTAGAGTCCTGGAATGTTTTGCAATATGTTGCCTATGTCTTGAAGGTGTGCCAGACGGCCATCAAATGTCGCTGTCTCACGAGCCCCCCCCCCCCCATTTCATGATGCTATTTTTGAATTTAAAACGTTCATAACTTTTACATGCGACATAACCAACTGGTCTCTGAATTTGCATACGCATGCCTTTAGTGGTGTCAAATACATACATTGAAATTGGGAGGGAAAGGGGAGGGGGGTGAACACACGTTCTACCCTTAATGGTATTCTAATGAAAGGTCTCAACCAAATACATTGGTTTGTATAAACTATAACTTTCTGAGAACAATATAGGTGGCTGGAAAGAAGAGGGAGAATAAAACAGCAGCAAGATTTGTCTTGCCACATTATCGTTTCCAGCGACAGTTTAGAAATTAACAACGGCGCTTGGCGTATACTTCCTCCAATATGAAAGCGGTGTAAATCACAAGACTTAATATGAAGCAAGTGGACTGCAATGAAGTCATTTCATTTATCACTGTACTTTAATGTAGCCTTAGAAAGACGTAAACATTTTTCATACAAAAGATATATAATCCACTTTGCCGTTTAATGGGCGCCCGTCGTATAATAACAAAATTAATCAAGGGAGGGGGAATTTGCAAGCCCGAAGCTCATTCGTAATTGATCGATTTTATATTTAACGAACACGTGACTAAAGGGATAATGATTACCGACGTCTGTTAAGCGAATGCAATCAAACACGTGACTCGTGGATGCGATCCAATTATTAAATAATCAAATCGCGCGCTCGTCGCCAAAAGGATCAAAAACGCGAGAGGATTTTACTTACGTGTGAAAGTAGACGAGGATGTCGGCCCTGTCACTGTTGACTTCCGTAAATGTCAGCCTGGAATGTTTCGACCATACCTCGAGGGCTTTCGTAAAGACGTATCGAACTTGGTAGAGATCTAAATCTCGTAAGTAGGTGCTTCGCAAACTGAAACAAGAAGAAACTGACGTTAATATCTTGAGAGTTTATTTTCGCTCGTGTTCGTTCAATGATGGCGGATTGTCCCGCTATTAACAAGTCTAGATAATGAGGGAGTGTGATTACAATTTACGTTTGCATAAATTGGAAGTATACACAGACGTAATTCGCGGGGGTGCATGTGCAATTTAAACGTACGTAGGTCGTAGGTCATGGTGTCTAGACTCCCAATTTTCAATGTGAACACATACCGAGATAATGAAAATTGACTTGGCACGTGGAATGCTCAATCGAAAATATTATACCTCCCTCTAAGACGTAGACTGGAACTACGACATGTTTTACTAAATCCTAATATTAGTCAGCGTTAATCTGAAGGCAAAAGCGATTAAATATGCCATTTAGTTACCATTTTTGTGACCACTTAACAAGTCGATATCGATTATAATTTTTGGTTATTCATTTTCTTACCAAAACCTCTACTAGTGTAAATTAATTTTAAACCCGCCTTCGAACCTGCGTCAGGTTACGCAAAATTTACATATTTCCTAAACGGAGTAAACAGCCCTAAAATCGGTTTCCGGAGGGCATTTTCAACACAAAGACCAACGACAGAAAGTATTTCCGGTGGTAGAAAAAAAGTTAAAAGCACATCGCAACACACAAAGAAACAAGAACGTACTGTAAATCAAATTAGGTGCTTTCACTAATAGCATTCCTATTAAGTTTGACAATCACTTGTTTGTAAATATTCTGTAAGGAAGGAATAATTTTGCCTTTGCATTTTTTTGCGTTGTATTCACCGCGTACGCGGTAACCGCGTTGTGATAAATATTTTTTAGTAGTTTTTGACATATTCAGATTAATTTGTTTTAAGGCCATCGGCCAACAACAACCGCATTTTGCCAGTTATTATTTGTACATTTTTTTAATACGATCCAATATTATTCGTGCTCTTGATTGTTATATGAATTTGATGTTGAATGATTAAATGCCTCATCCCCATTTACTAATTCGTATTTTCTTCCAGCGTGGTATTTAAGTAAATAAGAAGCGTTTGTCTTAGACGTCGTGTAGTATAAAAACAGTCACAGGTAGCCGCCCACTGCAAAACTTATGTATCTTTCTTCGCAAGGGCAAGATAGAAATGAAAATATAATAGCATAATTTGTGTATACCTTACACGCGACCAGTTTTGCAGTGGGCGGCTACCTTCGATGACTGACGTGACTGTTTTTATACTAGACGACGTCTAGTATCGATACTCACGTTCAATTCGCCGAACGATCTAGTAGTAGAACTATAGAAACTGATATTCATAATAATCCTTAAAGTCTCTGGGAGCTATTAAGTGCTTTAAATGCTATCCAGTGTCGCCTACAGCGTCGAAGAGCATCCAGAACTGCCTAAATACTACGAGTCTTTATGACTCAATTAGTGTCTTAGACCCTTTAAGGGTTTAAGAACCTTTGAAAAACTTAAGAGCTTTTAAGCTTTAAAAGTCTATACGAGTCCTGCAACAATCGACAAGAGTCTTTGTAAAAAAACCATTATATTTTCAAAAAGGTGCGAGGTTCAAGGGCACCAGAGGACACGTCTTACGTAATTGTCTGGAAAATATCGAAAGACTTCTTCGACATCAGAGGGGGATCAAAGATTTTTTCGAAAATCATTCGCACAGGGCGCACGGTTCGAATGAAAGGAATCTTCCGAGCGATTCAAACAACCCGATGTTTAAGAGTCAGTTGAATTATGATCTGTAGAAAATTAGAAATTGTAGAACTTTCTGAGCTAATCCAGTCAGTCAGATCGATCGACTCAAGTAAGGAATTAAGAAGGGATTTCATTTTAAAGGATACAACACAAATTGCAGGGGTTTAAAAATAAAACTTCTACGTTACCGAGCTACAAGTAATTGAATCTATGGAGTCGGGACTTAGGTATTCCTTTACTAGAAATGAAATTTGCAAGGAGATGTCTCCAAAAATAAGCAAGTGCATGTCTGAAATTTGGAATATGCTTTCCTTTACTAGAAGCACCTGTGGTTAAAATTTCAAAAAAATATAACAATTTGCGCATGGCACATTTGATTTTTACTACATGCGTTATGCTGTTCTTCACTGGAAGTGTCTGTGGATAAAATTTCAAAATATCTATACAGTTGGCATTTCCCAGTCTGGGCATAAGCACGTTTGATTTGAATTACCGCCCTTTAAAAAATGCAATGCGATGACTAAATTCTTAAAATAAATCGATATTTCATCTCTGATTAAGTGAAATTGATGTTCTTCTGTCTGATTGCGTCCTTTCACTTGAGTTTGTTTTCTGTAATTAGAGGACCATTTGAGGTGAATCCCGGCGGGGAGACCTTGGGAATCTTCTCAGTATTGCGCCTATCCGGTTCGGTTCTGGTCCAAGATCAATGTGGATACATACAGTAGGTATGTCAAACTGACAGTAAAGTTAGTGGTAATATTATGTGTAAACAACATCATGTAGACATTAATTCGACCTAAACACCAAAAATAATGAAGAGACACCCTGTATATGACACTATCTTCAATCTATTAGGTATACATGTGTATTTCCTTTTGGAATTGCTTGTAATTCCGTGATTCTTCTATAAATTTTACAGCTTTTGTAGTTTATTTAAATGTGGATTTTATTGTAAATCGTGAATTTTCGAGTTAAAATGTAGGGACGTCTGGTGGAGTCTCATCTGACGAAATTTAATTAACGCACGCATTCTTATCGCTTTTAAAAGAGCTAAGGCGTTTCGAAGAATTGTGCGTTATTTCGGCGTAAGTGAGGACGCATTTGTTCGAAGCTCGCGTTATTAAGTCTAATTTTGATTGGCGGTGTTTTTGAAAAAAATCCTGAAGGAGATTTATTTTATAGTGGAAGTGGTGCTCCCTTCAATACTGGAATCAGCGTAAAAACGAAGCTGTTAGTTTTCGCGACGGTGAAACGAGTGTGTTTACGCTAAATCTCGGGCAGTTGGGCCTATTTATTTAATTGAAGACACAGTTCGTCAGTTTCAAAATAAAGTGTGTATAAGCAATTTTAATAAAATATTTAAGTTATCGTCAAGTGAAGTAGTAAAAGTTTGTTGAACGTTTTTTAGCGGTTTGTCCGTATTCAGAAAAAGTTAGTTCGAGTGTGCGTAAACAAAGCACTTATCTGCTTAGTGAAAGTTAAAAGTTTCTACCGTCCGAATCATCTGATTCAGTTTAAATAAGAGAAAAAATGAAGTGGCGATCAGTATGATTTAGATCATAGAGAAAAAAAATTGTAAGTAGTCCTGTTGCGATAGATACCGAGTATTCAATAATTAAGCGAATACGGATCTTTATCTTTATAACTAGAAATTTTTGATATCGAAATACACGCGTAGCCTCTATTCGGTTTTAGTATTGCGTAACGGTCGATCTGTATATAATTTTGTGCAATTGGACGAGAAACAACAACTTCGCGTTCGCCATGGCGGCCGCGAAATTCATTTTCGCGGCCGCTGTCATAGTGACGGCCGTTAAAGTAAAACAATGTCACATATATTTTGACAATCAGCATGTAGGTAATTACAAATCTTTTGGATAAATGTTAATATTAATCGTACAGTTCGTATTGTTACTTATACTTACTCCTGAAAGAAAGTCTAAAGTGTTAGAAGCGTTATACTTTGAAACTGTAACATTTTGATTTTCATTAGAACTCAAACTGACAGGTACACTTTTTTATACACTCGTTTATATTAAGCATTCACTTTAGCATCGAATACACACTCCATAAGCTTGAACTTTTTAAGGTCTTCGATTTTTCCATAAGGTACGCTAATAGTACATTTTCAGACAAGGTTCCGGATATCGAAGAATCACTTTCGGAGGCACACATTTTGACTTTTCTTTCACGAAAAATTATTCATTGTTTATCTCATTTCCATGGTAAAATGAAAACTGGCCGTCTTTCTATTTGCGACGAAAATTATTATTTTTGAAATCTCATTTTTATTTATTGACGATTCTACACAATTGCACAAAAAATGTTGTGTATACCACGGCCGCGTCATTCTTTAACGCCCTCAAAGTTGCCTTGCCTCGGCCGCAAGCGGCCTCGGCGTCAATCTTCTTTTCGGTACGTTAAAGAATGACTTCGCGGCCTAAGTATACAAATAACTATTTTATTATACCTGAATCACAATCTCCGTTTTAAACACTCAAATGCGTGCGAAAAAAGGCCTTTAAAACACACGTGCTTTAAAGTTGCTAAGTAACGATACTTCAAGTATGACTTTTGAAACTGTCATCTGGATGAAATAAAAACTCCTCTTAGGTCGCTTTCTGTAAATGCAGAACATTTCTTTGGCTTTTGTACCTATCCTTTGGTTGAAGCTTTCACAAACGCGCATAATTTAGGGTATGCTTCCAAATCTGTTCTACTTTTTAATCGCAGCATTGTTCGAAGTTTTGAATGAATGCACCAAAAGATAGAAGATTTAAATACCTTTGACATTTCCTTCATATATGCCAGCATTATGGATGCATTTAAGACTGTATTCGTAAGTAACTTCCTATTCATCCATGGAAACAACTTTTCATATTCTTTGTAATAGGCTTTACTGGAGTTGGATTTTACACCTACCAACGTTTGTTTAGATTTTACAACAATCGATTTAATGGACGGTGTATTATCTTTTTCAACGGAAATCGTTTAATTCACAAAGACGATAATTTTTATAAGCAAACGTCAAGTGACATTTCCATGGCAATCGTGAAATTACGAACACCCAGCCCACTTAATTAGACATGTATTCGAGTATAACGTCAATATGACTTCATTGTATTTCCTATTTTTAAATTATACTGCAGGTATAATAAAAAATACTATAAGACACACGTGTATAATTGGTCTTTAAAGCACTTGCAACGTTAAAGGCACTCCGCTTTGCGTCGTGCCCTTAAACTCGTTGCGCGTGCTTTAAAGACTTGATTATACACTTGTATCTTAATATACTATTTATTTT